CAGGTCATCCAGGCCTTTATGTCTTTAAGACATGCTTGAAGTTTGACCAGCTGATCTGATTCATTTGGCTTCATAGATAAATATAACTGAGTATCATCTGCATAGCAATGGAAATTTATGTTGTGCTTCCTGATAATATTGCCTAAAGGGAGCATGTATAAAGTGAAGAGAACTGGACCTAACACAGAGCCCTGTGGAACGCCGTGACTAACTTCAGTTTGTGTGGAAGATTCATCATTAACATGAACAAATTGAAATCTTTCTGATAGGTAAGATTTGAACCAACTTAGTGCAGTTCCTTTAATCCCAATAACATTTTCAAGTCTGCAGTAAGATGCTGTGATCAATGGTGTCAAAAGCAGCACTGAGATCAAAGTGGACAAGTATGGAGACAATTGCTTTATCTGAGGCTAGGAGAAGATCATTGGTGACTTTCACCAGTGCTGTTTCTGTACTATGATGGACTCTAAATCCTGACCGGAAATCCTCAAACAAATCATTCTTGTGTAAGTGGTCACATAACTGCTTTGCAACAGCTTTTTCCAGAATTTTAGAAATAAACACCTGGGTCAAGAGTAGGCTTTTTGAGTAGAAGTTTAATTACTACAACTTTAAAAGCCTGTGGAACATAACCTGTTAATAGAGAGGCTAATCAGATCTATTATGGATGTGTTGATTAGGGGAAAGACGTCTTTGAGCAGCCTGGTCGGGATGGGGTCCAGGAAACATGTTGATGATTTAGATGAAGCAATTGTTGAGGTCAACTCAGAGATCTATGGGAGAGAAGTAGTCCAAGTATAAAGGAGGTTTTACAGATGTTTCTAAAGCTATTGTAGTAGATCAGTTCGTGACCTCAAGCTGAAGCGCACTTGGGTTCTGCAGCAGGGCAATGATCAAAAACACACCGGCAAGTCCACCTCTGAATGGCTTAAAAAAAAGAAAATGAAGGTTTTGGCCTAGTCAGAATCTGGACTTGAATCCGATTGAGATGCTGTGGCATGACCTTAAAAAGGCAGTTCATGCTCGAAACCCTCCAGTGTGGTTGAATTAAAACTATTCTGCAAAGAGTGGGCCAAAATTCCTCCACAGCGATGTGAAAGACTCATTGCCAGTTTTCGCAAACACTTGATTGCAGTTGTTGCTGCTGAGGGTGACACAACCTGTTATTAGGTTTAGGGGCAATTACTTTTTCACAGAGGGCCATGTAGGTTTGGATAGCTTTTCCCCTTAATAAATAAAATCATCACTTAAAACTGCATTTTGTGTTTACTCGGGTTATCTTTCTCATATTTAAATTTGTTTGATGATCTGAAACATTTAAGTGTGACAAATATGCAAAAATTAAAAAACTAGGAAGGGGGCAAAATACAGCACTGTACTGACCTCATTGTCACATTATTTCCAGGCACCTGTAAAAGCAAGGGAAAACCTTGGTTCTTCATTTTAAGGACAAAACCATAGTCGCATGAAATATTCATGCTTTTTTTAATTTATTAATAACTATTAAAGTATTCAAAAATCATTGCCCATCCCTACCTTCACAATGGTTTTACTGGGTCTACTTACCCTGTCTGTAATGCAGTCTTGACTGTTTTATTTTACTGTACTTGAGGTTCAGAGCAACTAAAAAGAAGCACATAGTGACTAAAATCAGACAGAAAAGACCCCCAAAACAGTGAGACAGCTATAAAATATGCCAGTGGATAAAAAAGAGACACAGAACACCTACAAGGATCTACTAAACTATTTAATACAAGAACACATGACAAGTGAAAATACAGCCACCAAGGTGCAAAACAACCACAAAGAGATGGAAAACAAGTAAAAAATTTACACAAATCAGTCCGTGGAGTTTATCTGAGGCTTTTAATGGGAATATCTCGCACACTACTTGTCCTTTATTTGAGTTTAAATGTATAATCCTGTATCTTTTTTAAACTCTATCAGATACTATCCTGTAATTGTAGGCATTTATTTACACAATCAACTACATGCAGTGTCTAGTAATGATCTGACACTAAGAAGCTTATATTTAGAAAATCTGGCATGTTATGGGGCCTTTGTGTGAGCTTAAGCAACAATCTGGCACTTTTATTTTGAAAATCTTCCATCCTGCAGAGCACTCATGTCACACTAAGTTATAATCTGGGGCTCTTATATTCAGTACCCAGCATCCTTCTAAATGGCATTGTAACTCCTGGCACCACCTTTTTACCACAAGCACATTTCAGCCTCTGCTGGTCTGTGCTGTTTGATGTGTCCTACTAGGATAGGACAATCTTGTTACTAGAAGGAGCAAAGCTCTGAGTACTGAAAGGAACTGGACATTGAAGCTGTTTCTGAATATTTCCGGGCTCTCATTTTGAAGGCAGAGCGACCAGTGTGTGTGTGTGTGTGTGTGTGTGTGTTGTGTCTCTGTGCTACTGTGTGTGTGTGTGTGTGTGTGTGTGTGTGTGAGTGTGTCACTGTGCAGCACCGTTGCTTTGACAGTGTATGTTTGGGTGTTTGTTATTTTGTGTATATTTGTGTGTGTGTTACTCTGTTGCTATCTGTGTGTGTCTTACTGTTGTGACTGTGTGGTACTATGTTAACTTTAATGTTTCTGTTTTAAGCAATTAGCTCAACAGGACACATGCTACCAAGAAGGTCAATCTATTTATTATTAACATTAGAAGTTTTCATAGTATTACAACATAGTAGTACTGTCAGAAGCACTTGTAATGAGGGTAGAAGTACTGAATTGGCTAGTACTGACAGGGATATTGCAGTAGTAACAGGCGAGGCTACTTATCATGGATTACAAGATACTCAGTTAACACAGGTACTGACTTACTGCATGCCATTTAACAGACAGAGAGAGTGTAGAGGACATATGGGCGATCGACAACAGCAGGTGCATCGTTAAGTGCAAAAATTGTTGTGCTTTGATTGGCAGGAGGCTTCAAAAAACATGCTTATCTCCTTTATGTGAAGGTATTTTATAAAGTGAAGGAATCGTTGCGAGTTACAAATAGCCCTCACTTTTGTTTTGAGGAGATTTTCTGAATCTTTTTTTTACAGTGGGAGTCTATGGGAAATTGAGGCGGCACTCTCTGGAATTTAGATAGATAGATGCTTTTATTTGTCATTGTACAAAAATATACAACTAAATTTAGATGTACTTCAGGGTACCAATATATAAATACAGTAAACAACACTCAGTGCCAGCATATGCACTTTAGTGAGTAATTACACTTAAAAGAAAATCAATAAATATTAAAATAAAATCAATAAATATTGCACGATAAAACATGCTATCTTCGGTAAGAGTGGTTTTGGAGATCATTTTTTAATATGCTTATGGCTTTGTGGTAAAAGGAATTCAGGAATTGTGCAGTGCATGTTTTAATGGATCTGTATTGTCTACCTGAAGGCAGCAGTTCAAAAAGGTGATGAGCAGGGTGAAAATAGTCTATTGATATGCAGTTGTGTGTGAACCTTCTTATTCTTCCTAAAGTCAATTATCAGTTCTTTGGTCTTTTTGATATTGAGTTTTTTTTCTGCACCACGCAGTCAGCTCTTGCACTTCCTCCCTGTAGACAGATTCATTATTCTTATGGATCAAGCCCACCACTATCGTGTCATCTGCAAATTTAATAATGGCATAGGTATTATGTGACATGGTGCAATGATGTGTGTACAGGGAGTAAAGGAAGGGACTCAGCACACAACCTTGTGGGGTTCCTGTGCTCAGTGTCAGGGTGGAGGAATGATGATGATAACTCATCTTGACTGACTGTGGCCTGTTTCTTAAAAAATCCTTTATCCACAGGCAGATGTTGTGTTGTATGTCCAAACTGGACATTTTGAAGAACAGCCTGCTGGGTAAGATGTTGTTAAAAGCAGAGTTGTAGTCCACAAACAACAGATGTGCATATGTCCGCGGTTGCCATTTCATTCAAAAACTGTTCATTCTATACAATAACAAGGGCATTTTCTGATTTCTCACAATTTTCTCTACCATTTCAGTGTATAATTTGCATGTGAAAGCTTATTTTTGGCAGAATAAGAGCAGAAAACAGGCTGAAAAATTGTAAAAAGGCTGAAGGACAGAGCTAGAGTGAGTAACGTCACATCACCCACTCTAGCCCTCCATTTATTTGAGGGCTGAAAAATGTCCAAAATCACCATAAAATAGAAACTGTGATAATTCAAAAACTGTAAAAGATATCAAAAAGCTGGACAAGACAAATATCTGAAACCTTCCTGACTTGTTTAAAGATTAATTTGTTTTTTTAGCTGAACTTTGCTAAAGTTATTAAGGGTGAAAGAGGAGGAAGATTTGAAGATTCTCCCATTCACTTCCATTATAAAAAATTGCTGAAAAAAGCTGAATATTTTAAAAAGTGTAAAGGTTATCAAAAAGATAAATGCAAGCATAGATGCCCCTAAAGAGCTGAACATTCTGATATTTGAATGTTTTTTCTAACTGAAAGTATGTTGCAGTTATTAAGTGCCAAAAAAGGACAGAAGAAATCAGAATAATAAAGAAGAGGAAAACAATAGTGTGAATGCTGCAATAATAATAATATATAAATATATAAGAGGAAAACAATTAACAACTAGAAGATATTATGGATTGAAGGGGTAAAAATGACTCCATCCATCCATCCATCCATTTTCTTCCGCTTATCCGGGGCCGGGTCGCGGTGGCAGCAGTCTAAGCAAAGATGCCCAGACCTCCCTCTCTCCAGACACTTCCTCCAGCTCCTCCGGGGGAATGCCAAGGCGGCCCTTAGCAAAGGGCCCCGGACCCCGTACTCCCGGAGCACCCCCCACAGGGCGCTGCGAGGGACACGGTCGAATGCCTTCTCCAGATCCACGCAGCACATGTGGACTGGTTGGGCAAACTCCCATGAACCCTCTGCCACTCTGAAGAGGGTATAGAGCTGGTCCAGTGTTCCACGGCCAGGACGAAAACCGCATTGTTCCTCCTGAATTCGAGGTTCGACTATCGGTCGAATTCTCCTCTCCAGTACCCTGGCATAGACTTTGCCGGGGAGGCTGAGGAGTGTGATCCCCCTATAGTTGGAACACACCCTCCGGTCCCCCTTCTTAAAAAGAGGGACCACCACCCCGGTCTGCCAGTCCAGAGGCACTGTCCCCGACCGCCATGCGACGTTGCAGAGGCGTGTCAACCAAGACAGCCCAACAACATCCAGAGACTTAAGGTACTCAGGGCGGATCTCATCCACCCCCGGTGCCTTGCCACCGAGGAGCTAAAATGACTAAAAATGACTCCTTACTGTTTAATAGTAAAGCAGGAGACTTCTGATTTCCTGGCTTTTACAGCAGACTTGTGCCCTGGGGGCTGGTAGCCTACTGCTGGAGCTTGCAAAAAAAAAAAAAAGCTGTCTTCTCAATGGTTCTGAGCCAAACAGCCCATAATCATGACAGATTTCCGAACGCTGTGAACGCTTGTTCTCTTAATACGCCCCTAGCAACCTGTTTTTAAAGCCTACTCTCCAATTTCACTATTTAGGCTTACCATATGTTGTAGTGACCATGCTAAGCACTAAGGAGGGGAGATAACACACATAACCACAACTTCATCCCTGCATGACAAATCTGAGACCCTGAGTGGAGTAACAATCAACCTGGCACACTGTATAACAATGGTAGAGATAATAGCTTACCTCAGGAGATGCTAGGTTCCAGTGTAGCAGTTACCCTGTTGACCTGTTAGTCTGTCATGCTTCAAGCAAACTCAATGAAACTCCTGTAACATCTGTTGCGACCAATATACATGGTGGTGTACATAAATTACAATTATTGAATAAATAACCTAAAGATAAAACAGCTTAATCAAACCACACCGTGCAGCACAGCCCGATAGAATAACAAATTTAAATTTCCTCAAATACCCCTTTGTAAGAAAAATCTCTATAAAATATACCACTGTTCACAAATACATATTTGCATATTATTTTAACTACACATAATTGTCAATAAATGTCATTGTCCTCTTTTTACCTTGGGTGAAATAATGTAATAACTTAAGCACCATGTTCTTTAATTGTAAGAATGTAAAAAGAGGAAGGTGCTGTACGTTGAAAAAACGGTAGTGGTGGAAGAAGTGCTTCTAATTATTTAAGTAAAAGTAGAAATACCACAGTAAAAATACTCTATTACATACTGTATAAAAGGCATGTGTTCCAAACATTACTTAAGTGAAAGTATTAAAGTATTAGCATAAAAATATAAGTACTAAAAGTATTCAGTGTGCATTGCCTTAATGTATGTCAGATTATTGTGCACATAATGTTACAACTGGTAAAAGTACTGGTATGTACAATTGGTAAGTACTCTATATACTGCCGTGGAGCTTGTGAATTTCTCATTGTTTCACATAAAAAAAAGGGTCACACACTTTATTCATGCAGTTTATTTCACACCAATGGAACAATCAGCCATATAGCACAGTCTTAATAACCGGTTTTATACAACAACTGCAGCAATAAATCACTGTCTTATGCTGAAAATGGCACAGGAGAGGATGCATGTCAGAGGGAAGGGGTTCCAGAGGCAGAAGGGTAAATGGCCTAGGGGTCATAATACATATGCATATGGCTATTCAAGATGTCACTGAAGGGGGCGCAGCCTATGGGGCCATAAATCAATCACTTTACACCTAGTTTAATAGATGCTGTATTTGTGTACTCTCTAATTAACACTGCATTTGGAATACACAGAGCACTATACAGATGTTTTCATGGAGTGAGTAATACTTTTCTTAAAAAGTAAGCTCATTCAGACTATCTAAAAAGTAATGATATACAGTATTGATGAGGGCTACATATATTGTATCATGTTTCTAATGTAAAACAACATTAAAACAACAGCATCATTTTTCAAATCTTTCCCTCTCCTCCAGGTAATACCAAGATCAACCGGAGGCAGAGCATGCTCTTCTAATGTTGGATGAAGAGGATGGTCAACTACCTGCACTTCACCATCACTTCCCACAAACCTCTCGCATGACCCCACCCCCCTCTACCTGATCAAACACACACACATAAACACGCACACACCCCTCTGAGCTAGTGACTCTGGGTTGAATCTATTTGGGGACTGTTTATTTATTACAGGACCAAGGTGAGGTTGAATTTTTTTGCTGCTAAATTACTACTGTTTGTATTTAACGTGTGTGTGTGTGTGTGTGTGTGTGTGTGTGTGTGTGTGCGTGCAACGTGAAGTTGAGAAGCCATGCACAGCAGTCAGTAAGGTAACTATTTTTCTTCTGACTATGATTCTCCGGCTTCGTCTTAGAATTCCACTGATCTTGATGTCAATGCTGTGATCCATGTTGTTTTTGCTGTCATACTTGGAGACTGAATGCTCTTGTTCATATATACTGTGTGTGTGTGTGTGTGTGTGTGTATATATATATATATATTAGTGCTGTCAGTTAATCACAATCACAACTTAATTGTGCATTTTTTAAAAATCTGTTATAAGTACATTTTCTCAAGTTACTGTACTTAAGTACAATTTTGAGGTATCTGTACTTGAGTATTTTCATTTTCTGTTAATTTATACTTTGATTTCACTACATTATAGAGACAAATATTGTACTTTTTACTCCACTACATCTATTTGATAACTTTAGTTACTTTTCAGAAACAGTAATTCAAATTAAATGAATTAAAATAGTTAAAACTAATTAACTGACATTTTGAATTTTACTGTTGTATTGCTATTTTTACTTACAGTAAGTAAAGAATCTGAATACCCACCACCACTGGTTCTAAATGTACCTTAAAGGGATGCTGAGGTAACTGCGATTATTAAAGGAAGTCCACTACCGTAGTCTCCAGTGAGCGCGACCATGTTTTTTATGTCCCAATGCCTCCAACACTTTAGCTTTCTCCTCTTCGCACAAGTTGTGTATCGTGGTTACAGTGGTGGCTCTTGCAGGCAATTCATTTGTACAGTGTTTGGATGTGATGCAAATTATTTCAATTTTCACCTTAACTTTGACAGCCCTAATATATATACATATTTGGAGTTTATCTTTTGTTTTTCGAGCTTCCGTGACTGATATCTACAACATTTCCAGGTTTAGAAAGTATGGGACAACTAGACAGTCTCACTTGGGGAGGAAATTATTCCTCTGGATTCTTAATTGTCTTATTTCCAGAACTCTTCTTTGAGAGGCCCTGCTTTCCTCATGGGTTCCAGTGAGTGTCAAAAAGCAGGACTGTGAGTGGATTGTGCTACAGTTTTCAGCTGAGGGTAAAAGAAGCATGCACAGTCCAGTCAGACTAGGAGAACTTAAAGCCAACTTTTGGTTCTTTTTTTTCTTTTTGATTCTGGATCAACAACAGGACCAAATCTAAGAAAATAGGGAAGGCAACTGCACAGATGAAAGAGGAATATTGCAATTGAACAGGAAGTCATGTGACATCCCACAGAAAACCAGCAAGCCTTCTCTAAGATCCCTCACAAAACTGCCAGGACTTTAATGCTTAAAAAAAACATGCAAGCTACACTTTGTTGCTCTGTGCCAATTTGGAGATCTCACTACAGTAACTCTGTTTTTAACCTGCACTTCAGTGTTGTTTTTGTTGTTGTTTTTTACATCAGGGACCCGAGCCTCAACACAGCTAAGTTTACCAAACAGTATTAAAATGTGTTCTATGGGTCTGTGACCTTTGACCTCTCCTTGTGAAAAAATGGTGTCATTGTGGCATGTTTTTCAGAAAGAGGACTGAAATGGGAACCAGGGTGGGGTGTTAAAATGGTTGTTTTTCACTTGGCATTGGACCACTGCTTTCTCCAGCACAAGAAAAAAAAAAGGTTTCAAATTGAATTTTTAGATTTAGCTTGTTGTCTGACAGTGATGCTACATATTAAGCCACTTGAGAAATCTCACTTTAGACTGCATGTTTATGGAAGCAAATGGAAAATCTCCCCAACTCGGTTATAAATGCCAACTGTACTTTGTCCTGTATTAATTTAGTTGCATGTATATTTTTCTTAGATGTCATCATGTGTTGGCCAGATTTTTCCAGCAACAGCTATATAATAGAGTTGTTTTACTGTATATCTTTAAAAAAAACTTTGGCATATGTGGGGGGGTTTTGTTGTTGTTGTTGCTGAGAGTTAGAAGGTTGGTTTGTAAGAGACTGTAAGTATGAAGCTACAGCCAGCAACTAAACTAAATTTATCTTTGGGAAACGGGGAGAAACAGATCACCTGGTTCTGGCCGAAGGTTACAAAATCTGCCTACCAGGACCTCTAAAGATCAGTAGTTAACAGGTTATATGTTGCTTGTATAATCTTAACACAAAAGGTTAAAAATTACACATTTTTTAAACAATTGCTTTTACAGAGGGTATTGTGCCAGACTATTTCTTTAGTAGGTGCACTGACTTCATGTATGATAGTCTGGAACATAGTCCTTTGTACAACCATAACCTGCTATTTTTAAAATTTTGATTTATATATAACTTGACTTACCTGTTAGTGAGTTTTAGAAGTGGCATGCAGCATTCTTTCTTTTCTTTGTTCCACATTTTTCACAAATAAAATTCGTTTATTGTCAGAGATTTAAAGGATTTGTCTGAGCAACACGAGTTCTTGGGTAGAACAGTGTTTAAATATGCTCATTAATGACTAAGAGCATTAACAGACTTTAACATAGTTTGTAGCTAATAGTGCAGTAATCCTGTAAACTTACTTTATCTGTCATCATAGTGTAAATCATTTGTGTTTTAAATACTCAACAATTATTGTCCTCACTGGAGAAATAGGCATCATATTATTGGTAGACATTCTGTATTACAATTGCTCCAGACTTATTCCTTGGTAGCTTTAAAGACTTTTTTCCTTCTATGCGTGGATATAATTGTTGCAGTTTGCATTGATGCTTCCTGTTTTTGTGTTGTTTTTTTCCTCGTCTCTCCCTATGACTCTGTCATGACAGCCTAATCAGTACTCATTGCCTCCACCTGCAGCTTATTATCCCAGGTCTCACCAGCACATAAATACTCCTCCCTTCCCTCAGTCAAGCTCTGTATCATAGCTTGTGTTACGGGTATGTTACAATGGTATGTTCACCAGCTCACCTCAGATCCTTGTTTCACAGTTTTCCTGCCAGCACCCCCAGCCTGAACTCCACTTGCTGCCAGACAACCCACATGCTGACAAGACTTGTTTTTCCTGGTTCTCCAGTTAGTATCTCCAGCTTGAACTCCGCATGCTGCCCGACAACACTCAGGCCAAGCAGCCTCCTGTTTCATGCTCTCCCCTCTCCTGGTCTGGTGGTCTGCCTCTCCAATGGTCACCAGCTCTACAGCTCCTTGCTCCACTGCACTTTGAGCAACTGTCTCCCCAGCTCTCCACTCCCCAGCCAGTACCTGCTTTGCCTTTTGTCCTGTCTCCCCAGCCAATACCTGCTCTGCCTCTGTCCCGTCTCCCCAGCCAGTTCCTGTGCTGCCTCTGCCTCATCTCTCCTCTACCCAGTAATCTGATCTTTCTTTTCCAATAAACTCCTTTTGTGTTCCGCTCCCGGTGTGTGTCGATACTTTGGGTCCACTTGTACCATCCCTAACAGTAATTTCCTTGTGATGTAAGAGGGCAGGATTATTTCACTGTGAACTGCAGACTATGCTAATTTGACCTTTTGTACATTAATAGTAGTAACATGCATGAAAAGGAGATTTCTACAGTGGCTAAATATTTATTGTCCTAAAACTGTACTCTTTAAATGTGTGAATGGCCTGAGTTTAGGTATATATGTCTGAACATGTGCATGCGCACGCCTGATGCATTGAAGGCCTGCTGTATTGTGAACTCAACCTCTCTGAAACACTTAACTGCTGGTGAACTGTTGGTGTGTAACTCTTTTTACTGGAACTATTTATTTCTCATAACCACCAAAAATAAATTTAATCTGTTTCATAAAGAGTTTGTGGAGCAGTTGAGTGGTGAAAAAAGTGTGTATTACCAGCTTAAATGAATATAGTAATTCTGAAAAGTAAATCATTTTACTCTAAAATCACTTTACACTCTCTCAAAAAAAAGCAAATCACTGAGAATACACTTCAATTTCTTTATTTAAAAAAATAGCCAGAAGCCATTTTACAAAAAAACACTGCAGTTTTCACCAGGAAAGCTGACTGCATTTACAGAAGTTTTATCATTTTGAAGGTACAGCTGGTATAAGGCTTAAAAGTACAGTGCATTTTTAAAAAAGCATGAAACTATACATAGGGAAGACGTTCATTGTATCAAGAGCAATGAGATACAAAAAACAAGATGACTTCCAGAGCATTTTAATGCTCCAGCTAGAAGGTGTTTGCCAGGAAGGTATCAAGAAGGTTTTGTGTTTGTGGCCACATGTCGCACTCAGACACTCTAGAACTGGACAAATGCATATTGTGTAAGAGTATATTGTGCTGTTGAAAAAGTCCATCAATGTTTTAGTCACTGAATTAGTTGACACCAATCCAACGACAGATTGGATGTGATCTTGGTAAATGAGACAAAACTACTGATTCACTGTTTTGTAAAACAGAATAGCAAACATATTCTATTAGAATAAAGGCTTAGCACTGAAAAAACAGTAAAAGTAAACTATTGTTGCATAAAGAGCACATGGAATGTGTATTTTCAATAAAGCTTATATATATATATATATAAAAAAAACATCCACAGGTGCCACTGTAAAATTGGAATATGTTGACTGCACCCAGTTTTATGAATATATTTTACTTCCTGCTACCTGCACTGTGGCCAGAGGATGTGGAGATAAAATACAGGGCCTGAGGTTACTGCATGTCCGGGAATGTTCCTGTACAGTGACTCGCTGTTTTACCTGACCAGGTCTAACCTACAAGTAGAACCAGTCAGTGAAGCACCCCCATGGCAGTGAATGATCAGCTCATCAGCGCTGAATTTTCCTGGAGCACAGTACCCTGTTTGTTTTGGCTGCTTGAGGCCAGTGTGTCTGCCGCATGCGATGTGTTGCTGGTTAATGAACGGATTAATAATCCATGATGTTACTGTCAGTGCTACATTACCTGTTGGAATTAATTTCACTACTTTGGTACTATATGTGGATGTGTGGGGGAAGATGTAGCGACCACAAGTTGGATTTACTGACTTTGGAGTTACTTGAAAGGGATTGATGTTTGCGCATGCCATGGGCACTTACAATGCCTTCTGTCTCAGTGAGGCCAAGATGTCTCCTGACAACATTTTCACCAGATCTATGTTTTTGGAGGCAGTGGTGTGGACAGTCTATGTCACAGATGTGTACACCAAGTGGAACGAGAGGAAATATATAATGAGATGACAAGCATGATGAGGTCTGACCTTCAGTCACTTTTGTTGCATGAGAAGAAATTCAGAGGCTTTTACATCCTTAAAATAGGAAAACACCAAACCAAACACAAATGTAAAGAACACAAGCAGTTAAACTAGTAAACACACCAAGAAATATCTAATGCAGATATTCTTCTGACAGAGTAAAGCTTCAGATTGAAGCCCCTGTTTTGTCATATAATAAAGGTAACTCCAGTGACTCCAGTGTGGGTTCATCATCTGAGATTAAGTCTATTTGACTTAGTCTGGATCTGTCCTGAATCAGACCAGCTCTGTCTGGTTTGGTCCAGGTATCTCTAATAGGGCTCAGGCTGACATCAGGACCTGTGGGAGCTGTGGGACAACAGCAAGGGAGTCGGAGCATCCACTGAGATGGGTCCATTCAACAGTGTGGGGAACTGCAGGGAAACAATTAAAAGTGGAAATGACCCAGTTCACTCACTGCTCCATTACAAAACTCAGCAATGTTTTCATATCTCGGTCATGAGATAGGACTAGTGACTTAGGCTTTATTGTGATGCTTGTGTGAGCCAGTCTTATATAAGATTACTGGGCAAATACACAAAACTAACAGTGGTTGTACTTCAGTAGCAGGAACCAAAAAATATCTTTCATAATGAAATGTGAAGTGTTTAAAAAATCTTTTCAAAAATCATGTTGTATTTTTCATTTATTTGCTTTTGTGTCATCTGTCATATTCAGTTGGCTGAACTGTTTGACTTCAGCCAGATCATGCACAAACCAATATATGAGAAAATCAATTTGCTATTTAATGAAAGGACAACTTTGCACCCAATAGTTATCAAATCTTTTGTAGTGACTCTAGGATGAGTCCTGGTGGTTCCAAACTTCTTCCATTTACAGATGATGGAGGCCACTGTGCTCATTGGGACCTTCAATGCTGCAGAAATTTTTCTGTACCCTTCCCCAGGTCTATGCCTTGATACAATCCTGTCTCGGAGATCTACAGACAATTCCTTGGACTTCATGGCTTGGTTTGTGCTCTGACATGCACTGTTAACTGTGAGACCTTATATAGACAGGTGTATGCCTTTCCAAATCATGTCCAATCAACTGAATTTTTCACAGGTGGACTCCAATCAAGTTGTAGAAACATCACAAGGATGATCAGTGGAAACAGGAGGCACCACAGAACAATTTTGTGTGTCGTGGTGAATACTTATGTACATGTGATTTTTTTCCTTTTTTATTTTAAAATACATTTGAAAAGATTTCAAACAAACTTTTTCACATTGTCATTATGGGGTATTGTTTGTAGAATTTTGATGACAATAATGACTTTATTCAATTTTGGAATAAGGCTGTAACCTAACAAAATGTGGAAAAAGGTAAGCGCTGTGAATACTTTCTGGATGCATTGTATTACAATTATAGTTTTCACTGTGGCTTTACATTGACTTATACTGTAGTATAAATCAGAACAGTCAGAAATCAGAATCAGAATTAGTGATGGGAATTCTGGCTCTTAAGAGAGGCAGTTCTTAGTTGATCCATCATGTGTGGCTTGAACAGAAATAATTGTGGAAAAAAGGAAATGTGGCTTGGAGCCAGCTCCGATCATTCATTTTAAAGAACCGTTTTGTTCACAATCAACACATCATGGGGGCAACTGTGGTTCAGTGGGTAGAGGATTGGCAGTTCAAATCATGGTGCCTGTAGTCCACATGTCGAAGTGTCCTTGGGCAAGACACTGAACCCCCAAGTTGCTCCTGATGGTTAGAGCCATTGGTGTGAGTCGGTGCTGCAGATGGCTGCCTTGGTTCTGTACCGGAAACAAATTCCTTGTGTGCGTAACATACTTGGCCAAATAAAGGCGATTATTATCATTAATCAGAATCAGCTTTATTGGCCAGGTGTGCTAAATTTGAGTTCAGTACAGTGGCTCTCAATGTGCATGTACATTGTTCTTCTGTAAGGCAGTGAATAAACAAGATAAAGACAGAGAACAAGAAAAGAAAAAGAATGTACAAAAAAGAAAAAGGAATGTGCATTAGGATTTTTTTTTTTAAAAGTACTCAAATATAAAATGTGTATATATACAGTTTAGATGTATTTTTCAGATAGATATATACAAAGCTGTAGTTACAAGACATTGCACTGAGGGTTGTCGTTCTGTTATAACAGTCATGGGTAAAGTGTTGTGGTGATGGCAAGGGGAAAGAAAACTGCCCTTGTGTCTGGTTGTTTTAGTGTACAGTGATCTGTAGCATCATCCAGAGGGTAGGAGTTCAAACAGGCTGGCACTGAAGATTCTTTCTGCAGTCCTGACTGTTTGCTGGAGTCTGTTCCAATCCTGTTTGGTTGCTGAACCAAACCAGACAGTGATGGATGAGCAGAAAACAGATTTGATGATTCCTCTATAGAACTATAACATGCAGTAGGAGTGCAACATGCAGTGCCATGTTGACTGCATCATCTGCTGACCTGTTTGCCCAAAAGGCAAACAGCAGGGGGTCTATGACATCCTTCAGGTCCCTCAAAGGACTAATTACACATGTCAGGGTGTCAGGTCCGTAGCCATTCAGTCCACTGATGGATGTTTTTTTTGGAACTGGGATGATAGTGGAGTGTTTGAAGCAGGAGGGGGACTTCGCGCTCTGTTGAACATGTGTGAAGATGGGGGCCATCTGATCAGCACAAGCTTTTAGAAGGGACCTGGTGCCTTTCTGATCTTTAGTTTTTTTCAAAAGGCCATGCACATCCATTTCAGAGACCTTCAGGGGTGGGGGACTGGGAGGAATGAAGGTGACTATGGAGAGCAGCTGCTGGGTTCAAGGTGAGAGGTGTGGAGTTCCACTTCTCAAACCTACAGTAAAACACATCCAGGTCATCTGCCAGTTGATGGTCTTCCACGATGGGGTGGGGGGTTCATGTAGCCAGTGATGTTTTGTAGAGTTATCCACACAAATGAGGGGTCATTGGCTGAAAACTGGTTTTTCAGCTTTTTGGAGTAGCTCCTGTTTGCTACTCCGATCTCCCTTTTATTGTGTTCCTGGCCTGCCTGTACAGAATCCTGCCCCCACTTCTATAGGCCTCCTCTTTGGCACAATGAAGCTGCTCGAGTCTCACTGTGAACCAGGGCTTATTGTTGTTGTATGTGCAGAAGGTCTTGGTGGGAACACACATATACTCATAGAAGCTGATGTATGATGTCAGTGTGAGTGAGTTCATCCATGTCTGTAGAGCTTCAGGTACACTCCAATCAGTGCAGTCAAAGGTCCTATAGAGGGCTGCTGCCCCTCCGATCAAAATGTCCACACAGCTTTTTGCATTAGCAAAAACCAGAGAAAAGGTGTTTGGAGTGACTTGTCTGATGTTTAGTGGCTCTCCTCTGGCAAAGGTAATCCAGGATGGATTGGAGAAGACTGTTGTTTTTCCTCATTTTCTCAAACACATGAGAGAGCGCATAATTGAGGCAGCCATCCGCAGCGCTATATTTTATTTTAATCAAGTTTTTATAGTTGAAAGTTAAAGCAAAAAGACAGCTATCACAGTGATTGAGGCGATATGATGATACTGTTTAAATGTGAGAATATTGGTGCACATTTTCAGACAGTGTTTCCTGGAACACATTCATGGTGTTGCATTTGCTTGGTATGATGTTGCCCCAAAGACAAAGTGCATGCAAAAACAAAACACTCTTCAAATCCAAAAGCACAAGCAAAAATCAAAGTGAATGCAAAAACAAAATGCTCTTCAAATCTAAAAAAGCAAATAAAAGTCAAAGCTCATGCAATATCAAAACAATTCAAATCCAAAATTGCATGCAAAAACAAAATGCGCTGACACACTGAGCCCGTGCAAAGATAAGTTAGTCAGTTAGTTGACTTCAATTCAGGTTATGAGCTCAGTATTATCATCACGACATTTGTCAATAGAACATGAATTTAGTTTATCCAACAGTAACATTATGTTTAAGTTTCACTTTTGTCATTAAGTTAGTGAAAATTTCTGGTGCGACAAGGTCTGTGTTCATCTAATAAATGGCAAATGGTCTTATGTATATTTATATAGCGCTTTTTTATGCAGTGTAGCACTCAAAGCGCTACACTATTTTCTATTCACCCATTCACACACACAGGCATTTACAAACTCACACACTGATGGTACAGCCACCAGGAGCAACTTGGGATTCAGTGTCTTGCCCAAGGATACTTTGACATATGAACTGGAGAAGCCGGGATTTCAACCACCAACCTTCCCATTAGGAGACAACCTGCTCTACCTCCTGAGCCACAGCCACCCCTAATAGTGTTGTTTTTCTCTATTTATAGTTATTAAAACTACTAGACACCCAAAGGTTTTCATTCAGTAGCAAGTTACATCATATTGAGATGATGTTTTCACATTGTGCTGATGTTATACATGCTTATACACAAAATTTTATACTGTTTGTTTTTAATGACATTTTGCTTTTGACTTGTCTCTTGCCTCAGACATGGAAGAGGGTTTTGATAAGAGGCCTCTTCAAAATTTGTTGGTACACTTATTGTAAACTCTACTGTGGTCATCATGAACTGAACTTACCATAGCAAGGCCATCCAATCAGCAGACATGGGTGCACAAATATAAAAATTACAAAAGCCACACTGAGAAATGTTGTACCTCATATACACTGCCACGTTAATAGTCGAACTTGTACAATTGTATGCACTTCAATGCAACACGTCCAACTTAACATCTGTGTTTATGAAGCTCAAAATATTTCAGTTTTTGGTAAAATGTCAAATGTATAAATTCTTTTATATGTTGAATGTATGAATTGAATGTATAGGGTGGAGTCAGCTAAAATGATCCACTTTTTGGTAAATTGTATATAAGATTATAAAATATGCTATGGATGATATTTAATACGATTTGATAAACTGCCATGAGTCTCAAATATTTATGTTAAAAAATGTGGAACAATATAATTGTTTTGTAATTGTGAGAGTTACTGTCAGCAGGTGACCTCCTAAGCTACCACTCAATGTTCAGCTAAAATGGGCCAATGTGAAAGGGAACAACAAAATAATTTCAGATGAAATTATTTTCATTTTAACAGCAGATTGACAGTAAACAGCCTTTTGTTTGCCATAGTAATACTGTAAATACATTTCATGAAAAAAAAACACTGAACTGAATTGAACAATCCCAAATCAGAAAAAGTTGGGACGGTATGTAAAATATAAATTAAAACTGAAAACAGTGATTTGCAAATCAGCTGTGTCCTGTATTACATTGAAAAAATACAGCAGCACATTATTTGATGTGATACTTTATCAATTTTATTTTTTGTTCAAAATAGACGCTGACTTCAATTCTGATGCCTGCAACACATTCCAAAACATTTGGGACAATAAACTTATAACAAAAGATGTTTAGGGACTGTGATTAA